CTATCAGTTCTGAAGTTAGTACTTTAAAGATGAAATCCTGTTTAGTTGAAAGGTTTTCTGATTACTTGGAAGTATCTGTAGAGCTAGGGATCACCAAACAAAATACTGACAGATGGGAAAGCTGAAACAGGGAAGGGAGAGACAGACTCAAGAAACCTTTTCAGTTCTTTGGTGTGAAAAAGCCTCTCTGAGAGCAGGTGAGATGGGGCTTTGAAGAAAAGTTGAACTTCCATATCCACCTGTGGCTTTTCCAGCATAAATGTGTAGGGCAGGGCTGAAGGGTAAAAGAAGAGACCAGTATGGATCTGTGAAACCGTAATGGCTCAGAACAGATTAGACGAGGAATCAGGTGAGTACCAATGACCCCAGCGGCAGCCTGGGGATTTCCTCATTCCTTTCTGGGGATTTCCACATTCCTTTCTGAATGCATCTTGGCTCTCCATCACAAAGTCAGCCATGAGAACAGGCAGTCTGTGGTTACACCTCATGACCCTTCATCTAAGCTTAGAGGAGTGCTGCTCTAACAAGTAATAGAGGCGTGTTTCTAGGTACTCTTAATTATAAATCACACATTACTGTAACTCTTTGTTTGCTTGACTGGGAGCTCCTTGAAGACAGTAGCTGGCTCGTAATCATTTCTGTATTTGTAAACCTAGCAGAATATCTGGCATTTAGTAGGTACTTGGTAAATTTTTTATAACTTATTAACTGAATCAAAGAATGAAGGAACAAAGTAGATTGACTGATATTTATTTTCTCAAAAGCTCTGTTTTTGTGGGGGTGTTACAATGCCCTCTGTCTTTTCATTTTTTAAAAAAGCTGTAGCTAGAAGCTATTCAACCAGCGCAAATTAGCTGAACAGAACAGAGCTTTAGCCATGGAAGGGAGAGCAAATTGATCAAAAGAGGGCTTGATTTTACTATATTGGCTTGTTTTGCACCTATCTTCAATGTCTGGAGGACTAAACTTCTCCGGAAGGACTGACTAGAAATTTAAACAAAAAAGGAAAGCAAAAACTCAGAGGAGTCAAAATGGTCAAAGTATTAGGAATAAACATGTGTTTCTGTTTTAAAGCAAAACAAAATAGAAAGCGGTCCTTACGTGTTCCAGTTCTCATTTCATAGACTTCTATTACATTGTTAAGCATATCCCTTAGAAACCACTACAGAGTAGGTGAAAGAGCACAGGGAAGTCAGGAGTCAGAAAATGTGGGTGTAAATTCTGTTTCTGCCACCTAGGCGATTGTCCAAAATCACATATTAAGTGAGTGAACACGGATAAGACATTTAAACCTCTCTAGGTTTCAGTTTCCTCATTTACAATGTAGGCATTAAGCTTTTGGCAATAAGAACCAATTAAGATAATTCATGTAAAAATATTCTGGCAAATATACAGCCCTGTACAAATGTTAAATTTATTCCTAGGTATTTTATTTTCACTGATGCTACTGTAAATGGAACGGTCTTCTTAATTTAAGGCCTTGTCTTTTACAGAGATGTACTCGTGTGGAAACTCAAACATGATGAGTCTATTCAGAACCAAGCTGACTGAATCCTAACATTGAAATGCAGTGCAGGCTGGAACTTGATTTTTATCCCTGTGAAAGAATAAACTAGTCAAACGCTGCCTCCTAAAATATCACAGTGATCCTTTCGATAGTAATGTTCCAGAATTTCTAATGCACTTACTGAGTTTAATTAAGACTTGTGAGAGGCAAAAGACAAGTTACCTAATATAATATTTTGCACTGTGCATGCTTTCAGAGCATATTGCATTAAATTATCTTCTTAAAAAAGAGTTTCCCATGGGCCGGTTGAGTGGCTCAGTTGGTTAAGAGCTCGCTCAAGAGTTTGAGCTCTGAGCAACAGCGGTTCTAGTCCCGGCCCGAGCTGAGCAGCCACTGAGCTGCCAACAGGTGGCAGGGTGGCTCAGCTAAAAAAAAAAAAAAGAGTTTCCCTGAACCAAAAGGGAACTGACAGTTTTTTGAGCGCCTATGATATGCTAAAGTATGCAGTGAAACTACCAACAGTTACTTTATTCATCCCTTATGAATAAGTAAGTCACCTAAAGTCACATGGATAGTCAACCCGGGAGCCAGATGCCAATCTATTAATAGGTCTGTTTGACTCAAAGGACCAGGTGCTTGTCACCACACTTTTACTACAGAATCTGAATTGCAGCATTTAGAAATTGAACACTTGCATCTCCCACAGCTTTGAAAGATACTTCTTTTAGTCCCTTGCAGGTTATTCAAAGTCACAGTTCAATCAGAGGTGGAAACATCTGGAAAGAACGATTGCCTTTAGGGAGAAGCCATAGATGGGAGGGAGACTAACTTAAGGTCTTTTGCACTTCTTAAATTTGTACCATGTGCAAATATTATCTTTTCTAAACACAGAAAGAGTGACAGAGAAAAAGACTGGTCCCTGGACCAGCTCTGCCACTCACTAATCTGATTTGGAACAAGTCGCTTCACAATCTTTGGGATTTTGTTTCCTTTACTGTAAAACGAGGGATTAATTTGTCAAAACCCTAAGGACGTACCATATCAAGAGTGAACCCTAATGTAAACTATGGACGTTGGGTGATAACTGACATGTTAGTGCAGGTTCACTGACTGTAACAAATGGACCACTCTGGTGTGGGATGCTGACAGTGAGAGGGGCTGTCCACATGAAGGGCAGAGGATATATGGGAACTCGCTGTACTTTCTGCTCAATTTTTCTGTGAACCTAAACTGCTCTAAAAAATAAAATCTATTCAAAAAACAAGAGGGGTTATACTAACTTATTTCTAAAGTTCCTTCCAGCTCTAAGGTGCTATTATTCTCATTTACTCTACAAAAATAATTAAAAATTCAGAAAGAGGAGTCAACTGGCTAATCTGACAAAGAAAGAAACTTTAATTAGAAATTCATTAAGATTAGAAGGAAAAAAAAGACTCAGATAATTAAAGTTAAGATTCCCTGAATCTGGACACAGAGAGATAAAATGGAAATGAGAATGTAGAAAATAAACTAATTAGGTATCTCCTAGCCTTTCCTACCCTAAAATTTCTTCTGCCTTTAGAGAATCTCAACAAGTATAGTGAGGAATACTAAAAGGAAACACCCTCCAGCCCAGTATCAGATTATGGCTAGTTCTCGTAAGAGCAAGAAATGTCCACCCAGATAAATCTCTGTGCAATCTAGGCCTCTCTTCAGCTCTCTAGGCAAACTAAAACCATGTATCCATCTCATACCAGGGAGAACAAGAGAACTGCAGCATTCTAGGGATTCAGAGTCAGAAGGAGAAATATTAGGAAACCACTGGACTAAGTTATCTGAGGTGCATATCCCCCTTTTGGATTAGATAATTTTACCAGATGTAAGGTACACACACAGAAATGATGAGAACTATTTATGCAGATAAAGTACAAGTTAGGTATGCCAAGTTTTCAATTCAATTCAACTAGCACATTATATATATATATCTGTATTGCTGAGCACTCTCCAGTTGGCTGATGAGAGCCACACTGCTTCACTTGCTGCTGTGTATGAAGGACGCAAGAGTAGAAAGTCCCCCCACCTCTTGTAATTGTTCCTGCCATAAATTTTTCATTCAGGGAGCTGAGAGTTTTGTCCCTAAAATACCAAAATGTATTTATACTGTGTTTCAGAAGGAAATAGTTCTAAAATGGATTATATACAATCCCTCCCTCCTTAAACAAAGTACGTATACTGAACATACCAGCCCCGACATAATTTGCTTTTCAAATTGTTACGCCTTGTTGGTATACTCGACTGTCTTTTTCTTGCTCCTCTCTGCTGGCATCTTCTCATCAGTGTGCCGTAGTCTAATGAACTTTTAATTTGTTCCTTCTAATTCTGCTATGGTCATAAAAACCAGATAACCAACCTGATCAGGCTTGTATATAAAGCAAAGGTGAAGGTGGCTCTGAGGAACTAGGGGGCTCTGCAGTTAGAGGCTGAGATGGCAAAGAGATAGACAGCAGTTATAATACAGGTAGCATAATGTTAACTTGGAAATGTCAAGTAAGGCACCAAGATAAAATAGACTTCAAGCTCCAGTAAGACAAAGTAAAATGAAAACAAGACTAGAAAAACTTCTCATTCAGGAAGAGAGCAAAGAAGGATTAAAAGTGTGGAGACTGTCAGATCAATGAGGATGATTTTTTTGGACACAGCTGTTGGTGAGGGTGAGTCCCATCCCTCAACCCACCAAAAATAAAACAACAAATAACCCAATTTAAAAATAGACAAAGGTACTTAACAGACATTTCTCCAAAGAAGACATGCAAATAGCCAATAAGTACATTAAAGGTTGTTCAATATCATTAGCCATTAGGGAAATGTAAATCAAAACCATAGTAAGATACTTCATTATTCCTACTAGGTGAGCTATAATTTTAAAAAAGGATAACAAATGTTGGCCTAAATATGAATAAGTTGGAACTCTCATAGATTGCTGGTGGGGATGTAGAATGGTGCTGCCATTTTGGAAAACAGTCTGGCAGTTCCTCAAAAGGTTAAACATAGAGTTACCATGTGATCTAGCAATTCCACTCCTAGGTATATACCCAAGAGAAATGAAAATATCCATACACCCATAAACTTATACATGAATGTCCACAACAGCATTGTTCATAATAGCCAAAATGTAGAGAAACAACAAAAATGTCCATCAACTGATGAAGAGATAAGCAAATATGATAAATTCACACAATGAAACACTATTTGGCATTAAAAGGAAGAAAGTATAATATGGAAGAATCTTAAAAACATGCTAAGTAAAAAGCCAACTATAAAAGACCACATATTATACGGTTCCATTTACATGAAATGTCCAGAATTGGCAGATCTATTGAGACAGAAAATAGATTAGCGGTTGCCTAGGGCTGGGGGCAAAGTGGGGAGAATGGAGAGTGACAATTAACGGGTATGGAGTCCTTTTAGAGGGGATGGAAATATGCTAAAATTAGATTGTGATGACAGTTGCATAACCCTGTGAATATACTAAAAACATCAAACACTTTAAATCTGTGAATTGTGTGGTATGTGGATTATATCTCAATATATCTGTTAAAAAGAAAACGAGAGAGAAAAAACCGAGCTGGAAATGTTCCCAAATACCTCTCTAAAATTAAACACCCTCTGATTACCCAGTGAGTTGATGAATCAATTGAATCATCCCAGATGTTTTCCTATTTCCTGCCATTGAGCTGTATTCTATAATTTAGTATTAGCACAAAGTTAATAAAGACAACACATCCTTTGTTGCTAAATTTTACACAATATTTACCATTTTCCTCTGACATACACATTTCCTCTGTTTTCCCACTGCAGCTGAGCTGCCAAAACCTCGTAGAGAGAATAATTACCCTCTGCAATCCTTTCTGCTTTCACGACAGTCACAATCCTTGTGCACAATCAAGTGTCTATGGCAAACTAATGTTTTGCTTGCCTCTCCAGGAGGTTTTAAATTCACCAGGCTGTTCACAGAAGTAGAGTGGCTTTCCCCTGCTTTTTTTGGGCAACAGGAGAGCTGGCAGGATTCACACTATTTCTGGATCTCTCTGTTTAGAGGCTAATTCATTTGGCACAAAGAAGCTGTTTTGTTTTGTTTTTCCTCTAAAAGCAATTTATTGACTTCCAAGGAATACTATGAGGGGTTTGTTCAAAAGTTTAGTCACAATTAGTCCTACCCCTACCAGCACTTTCAAGTCTTTCTGACATTCCACACCCAACCATTTAACAGTTTTTCATCATGATATTCCTTAGATGGAAAGTGACTAAAGATAATCTTTACGAAAGTTAGTTGGCCTTGTTCTCATTTGCTTTTTAGACTACTCTACATAATTTCTTGTCTTTTTATAATCTGAAAAGTTCTTATCTACCAACATTCAGAATAGGACATAAGAACTTTCTTTTCTTAAGTCTCTAAATGAGGCTTTAAAAAATAAAAACGGCATTATATTCACTAAGTCATCATGTCATGTTTTGTCCATGAGCAATTTAATTCTATATTTGTATGCCAGGTCAACCCCGTAAAGGGTATTCTTTTTGTTTTTTAATAGCAAAATTAAGCAAAAGGGTAGTAAACATCTCACTTTAGTAAAAAGTAAGTGTTACGGAGAATGAATTTTTAATTTTTAAGCATGTATTTTTATATCTATGAATTTACTAGTATCATACGTAGAGCTTAACACAAAACAAAAGCATCTGCCTTCTTATCTGAAAGAACATGACTTAAGATTGACTACACCCTCACACACTGCTAGTGGGAATGTAAAATGGTGCAGCCACTATGGAAAACATATTTTATATGCAATGTCTAGAAAAGGCAAATCTATAGAGACAGAAAGTAGACTAGTGGTTGCCCAGGGCTGGGAGGAATGTGGCGGAGGGATTTGGGAGTGGTATGGGGTTTCTTTTTTGGGTAATGAAATGGCCTAAATTAGATTGTGATGATAGCTGCACAAACCTGTGAATATACTAAAAAGCCACTGGTTTGCACACTTTAGTGAGCTGTACAGTAACTTTCTGCACATACTGCATGATTCCCTCATATGAAATATCCGGAGAAGTAGAGAACAGTTAGTGGGTGCCTGGGACTGAGTGTGGGAACAGGGAGTGACTGTAAATAGACACACAGATCTTTCTGGGGTGATGGAAATGTTCTAAAACTCTATTCTGATGGTTTCACAACTTTGTAAATTTACTAAAAAATCATTGTACACTTAAAACATTATTTTATGGTCTGTAAAGTACACCTCAATCAAGCTGTTTTATAAAAAAAATTTAGTCAAAAATATTTTAAAGAGGCAAATAACACAATTTTTTAAATGGGCAAAATATACGAGTATGAACAATTTATAGAAGCAAAAATATGAATGAACCAAAAAAAAAAAAAAGACGTTCTAGTAAGTAATAAAAGAATTAACTTAATTAAAACTATTGGGTCATTGGGCCGGCCGAGTGGCGCGAGGGTTAAGAACTCGCTTGGGATGCCAGAGGGCCCCGGTTCGGATCCCACATATGAGGGCCAGTGACACTGCCCTCTACAGCTAAGATGCTGAACAACAGCTCAACCTGGAGCTGGGCTGCCATGAGTCGCCGGCGACGGCGTAGGCTGCAGTCCCTGTGGCAGTGGATTGCCATGGGCTACCGTGTGTGGCCAGCAGCCAGCGTGAGCGGCCAGCAGCCGCAGTGAGCGGCCGTCCAGAAGCCGGCGACTGATCTGCCACGCCCGGGAAGAGCGCAATGATGGTGCCAACTTGGGCCAGTGAAGCAACGTCCTCCACAACTAGACTGAAGAACAAAACGACAGCAACTTGTCTGTTCCCCTTTCCCCAATTCCCCAGCACTGTTCCCATCCCCCCAATTTCCCAATAAAAATCTTTAAAAAAAAAAAAACAACTATTGGGTCATCAGGAAAGTCATGATGCATTTTTGCATTGAAAAACATAGAAAAATACATCATGACTTTCCTGACGACCCAGTACAATGCACCTAACAGACTGGCAAAAACTCCATGGAAATAACTCAAATGTCTACCAATAGAAGAATAAACAAACACATGATGATATAGTCATATAATGGAATAACATCTAGTAGAGAAAATGAATGAATTAAAGTAACACACTTTATGATGTCATTTAAATAAATTTAAAATCATGCACAACAATACTACAAATAGCTCAAGGAACAATAAACACAAATTCAGGATGGTGGCTCCCCTCAGGTGGGAAGCAAGGGGAATGTGATCAGCAATGGTAGATAAAGGGCTTCAAATGAATTGGTAATGTTTCATTTCTTAAGCTGAGTGGTGGGTGCATGAGCATTTTACTCTTCATATTTTTTGCATGTTTGAACTATTTCATAGAAAACTAAAATTTTAAAAACTACTCTAAAATGTTTAATGTGCTGCCAGAAAAAAGAAATGGGAAATGGGAAATTATATTGAGATATAATTCACATGCCATAAAATTCACTCTCTTAAAATGTACAATCCAGTGGCCTTTAGTATATGCACAAGGTTGTATAACCATCACCACTATCTAATTCCAGAACATTTTCCTTCCTCAAAAAGAAACCCCATATACATGAGCAGTTACTCCCAATTCCCCAGCCCCAGCCCCTAGCAACTACTAGTTTACTTTCTATCTCTATGAATTTGCCTGTTCTGAACATTTCACATAAATAGAATTATACAATGTGTGGTCTTTAGTGTCTGGCTCCTTTTAAAATTTTTAAATTATAATTTTTAAATGTTCATCCATGTTGTGGCATGTATGCATACTTCATTTATCTTTATGGCTGAAAAATAGTCCATTATATGGCTACATCACATTTGTTTATCCATTCCTCTGTTGATAGACATTTGGGTTGTTCCCATATTTTGGCTGTTATGAATAGTGCTATGAACATTTGTGTACAGGTTTTCGTGTGAACACGTTTTCATTTCTCTTGGGTATACACACCTGAGAAGGGAATTGCTGGGTCATATACTAACTCCATGTTTAACTATGTGAGGAACTACCAGACTATTTTCCAAAATGTTGGCAGTACCTTTTTACATGGAATATATAGTTTTGAAAACTGTCTACTAGTGTATATATTTTTAATAGTAAAATACTATTATAAATTTATTGAAATAAACTTTAAAGGAGAATATTTACCCCAACTCCATCTGGCCCTAACACAATGGACTTTATTTTTGCCTAAAAATATATATTTCACATATATTTATAAGATTGTAATCATAGAGAACATACAATTTATATTCTTTTTTTTTTTTTCAGTATATATTTAGATAGTCATTTGCAGGATTCCATTATTCAGACTTACCTCTTTATGATTGCGATTACTATCAAAACTTATGAAGTACATTCAATATTATCATACAGTTTTAGAAAGCCTACAGTATTATAAATGCCCCTGTCAATTTCTTCAAAAGACACGCTTTTCTCAGTGGCATGTGCCAGTTAGAGAATGTAAGTTGTTTTAACATTCAGATAAATGATGAAATTGACAGTTTCAAAATGTATCAGTTTTTGCACTAATAGCTTATAGTTTCCAGTTTCAAAAAGAGAAAAGATTTTAATAGTTTAGAATTTAAGATTAGTCATTCCAATTCTTGAAGCACCAATTAAAATGGCAAAATTATTTTAAAAGACTAAGTACAAATATTAGCTAAATACATTAGTGATTCAAATTACGTACCTTAAATACATCCTCAATACATCTACTAAGTTCTTCTTCTGTCACCAAAATGGTCCCTGGCACCATGTCACTTTCTGGAATCTCTAGAGAAGAAAACCCAAAATTACCCACACTCAGGCCAACAAAAATAATACTTCATTTTTTGAGCCATTTTTTAAAGAATACACTGATTCTAGGCTAGATTCCTATTAAATGGATAAAGAAATATTAATTATTTACTCAAATATCATGTTTATCATGTCTGAATAATCACAAATTCTACTTCACCAAGGCTGAATCTGGTGGTTTTACTCTGCAAAAGAATTAGACGTTCTCCATTTCCACCCACCTCACCCCACCACACACACCCAGGAAAATTTATATTACAAATGACTTTTACACAAAGTCTACACAGACTTAAATTTGCTTTAACCATAACAACAAAACTTTTCTTCATTTTTAACCTTAGAAACTACTATCCAGAAAGTTTTTTTTTTTTTAATCACTAAGAATACTATAAAGATACTCAGTTTCCCTGCATTAAACTCAATAAAGCATGAAAACATAGTAAGGGAAATGGTGAAAATGTCGATCTTTTTTTTTTTAAAAGATTTTATTGGGGAATTGAGGGGAGGGGAACAGCGTTGGGGAATTGGGAAAGGGGAACGGACAGGTAGACAAATTGCTGTTTTTGTTCTTCAGTCTAGTTGTGGTATTATCATTGTGCTCTTCCCGGGTGAGGCAATCGGTCACCGGTCATTGGTCGGCCGCTCACAGCGGCTGCAGGCCGCTCATGCTGGCTGCCAGCCACTCACATAGCTCACGGCAGTCCACTGCAGCCCCGCTGCAGCCTACACCGTCACCGGTGACTCACAGCAGCCTAGCTCCAGGTTGAACCGTTGTTCACTATCTTAGCTGTAGAGGGCGAGCATCACTGGCCCTCAATGTGGGATCCGAACCACAGCCCTGCTGCTCAGAGCTGGCTCTCCCAAGCGAGCTCTTAACCAGCTGAGCCACTCGGCTGGCCCAAAATGTCAATCTTTTAACATATTGAAACAAAACTAAACCCACTGGCCAAATCTGGGAAAATTTGAACATCAAAATGAATGACAGGGGGCCGGCCGACTGGCGCGTTGGTTAACAGTTGGCTTGGGACACCAGCTCTAAGCAGCAGGGCCCTGGTTCGGATCACACATGAGGGCCAGTGACGCTGCGCCCTCTACAGCTAAGATGATGAACAACAGCTTGACCTGGAACTGGGCTGCCGTGAATCGCTGGCGACGGCGTAGGCTGCATTGGGGCTGGCCAGCAGCTGGCGTGTGCTTTCGTGAGCCGCTAGTGAGTGACTGTCTCACCCAGGAAGAGCACAATGATAATACCAACATGGGCCAGTGAAGCGATGTCCTCCACAACTAGACTGAAGAACAAAAGGACAGCAACTTGTCTGTTCCCCTTCCACAATTCTCCAATTTAAAAAAAAAAAAAGAATGACAGGAATGTTTGGTAACTCACTGAATAAAAAAAGAGTCTGTGAATCTATATTGATACTTAAATATATTTTTTAAAGCAATGAGGCAGAGAGAAAGAAAAGCTCTTCTTTATAGAAGACTACCAACTAACATTAGAAATAACAAATGAAATAGAAAGTCACCATTTTACTGGCAAGACTCATCAATGGACACTAAACTACAGTATGAAACAGGGTATTCACACAGTCCCAGACTATCATTCCATAGATTACTTATTAATTACATGGGGAGGAAGGTGTTTTTACAATGGAGAAATCTGTGTTACCACCTTAATCAAATGATCAAATATAACACTGCTTATAATGGGATAAACATATGCCCCTTAATTAATCTGATGGACACTGAGAAAAAAACCATCATTCTATGTAGTATTCCTGCCAAAATGTTTAACCTGAATCTAATCACAAGGAAACAATTAGACAAATACAAATTGAGAAACATTCTGCAACCTGGGCTCTTCATAAATTTCATGGTGAAAGACAAACAAAAGACTGGGGAACTATTCCACATTAAAGAAAACTAAAAAGTCATGACAAGTAAATGTTATACATGCTTCTTGACTGGATTCTGGATTTTTAAAAAATAGCTATAAAGGAAATTCTTGGGACAACTGGAGAAATATGAATAAAGTCTGTATATTAGATGATGGCTACAACTAACTCTCAAATGCTTCAGAAAACATGTATGTGTATAGAAAGAGAGAAAAGGTAAAGCAAATGTGGCCAAAATGTTAGCAGTTGGTCAATCTAGGTGGAGTGTACAGGGGTGGTGCAATATAGTCTTCTTGGAACTCTTGTGAAGTGGATTTTTCAAAATGAAAAGTTGGTGGGAAAAAAGTAAAACTAAAGCCACTGAAATGCCACAGACTTAAGTCATTTAAATCTGAAACACTGAAGAAGACCCTTCAGAGGGACACCCAACCACTGAACTTCCTCCTTTACCTGCTGTATTTAAACATCGATGAAGAGGAGCTAACATTGGCTGAAGTAAATACTTGGCTGCCAACTGTGGGCGTTCTCTTGCCACAGTTATAAAGGTAGTGGTGGCAACTCTCTGAAATTGTCGTACTGTCAATTTATCTTGAAAGTGAAATAAATCCAGAATCTAAAAGAAAAAATACACAAAGTAAACACCAGGCTATTCGCATGGAGCATTATATTAACTAAGAAGAGACAGTACTAATTTCACTAAGTCAAAAAATAAACTCACTGCAATAACACCGATTGAACAAAAAACATTTTTTTAAAATTTAATAACCCAATAGCAAAAAGTGTGAGAACCAAAGAGGCTGTTTTTCTTAATCAATTTTATCAAATGTATAAAATACATGCTCATTGTAGAAAATCCGGAAAATAAAGTTTTAAGAAGAAAATTAAATCTTCCCAAATCACTATAAATATTTGGGGGTAAATTGAGACCACACTTAATATTCAGTTTTGTGTACTACTAAAACCTTCTCGTATTATTATAAATTCCTCAAAAATATTATATAATAAAATATAGTATATATTCAAACTGTAGGTAAGAATTTATTAAATTATTTCCTAATATCCAGACATTCTGTTTTTTCCAAAATTTTGCTATTCTAAATAGCATCACTAAATTAAATTACTGGGTCAAGGCATATAAATATATGTAGGGTCTGAAGAGCCTGGTGTGTTTGAACTATCCCAGGTTGTAATCTATTTTATTCTCAAAAATAAACATAGCTCTCCAGTGCCTCTGAGTGGTTTACCCCAGTCTATCGACAACTGATAGAAAAGTGTATTTCTGTTCCTGACTTAAAAGTGATTCTTGCACTTTTTGCAGACAGGAAAATCTGTCTAAAAACTGTACATAACCTTTAGCACTACCACAGAGACTCAGCAAGCCTGAAACCTATGACTTGATTTTATCATTTTGTCAAGTACCAAAACTACAGCTGTTTCAGAAAATATTTACACATTATTGCAAATGCTAACTTTGTCCTGTAAGATGATTTATATTTAGTTTTTTGGTTTTTTTTTAAAGATTTTTATTGGGGAATTGGGAGGATGGGAACAGTGCTGGGGAATTAGGGGAAGGGGAACAGATAAGTTGCTGTCCTTTTGTTCTTCAGTCTAGTTGTGGAGGACATTGCTTCACTGACCCAAGTTGGCACCATCATTGCGCTCTTCCAGGGTGAGGCAGATCAGTTGCCGGCTTCTGGATGGCTGCTCACTGCGGCTACTGGCCGGCCCTAGTATATTTTAATAGAAGATCTTTGCATTGTAGTATTTTGTTCTCATGTGTGCCTACCCATGAGAACTCTGAAGATCAGCATAACAACTGAATGACTTTCTTTGGACTGTACTCCAAAAGGCGTCTTACTTATATCTAAATGCATGGGGGAAAAAATAAATAAATAAAAATAAAATAAATACATGGGGAGTACTGATTAAGAAAACTCCTTCCAGGGTCAGCCAAGTGGCGCGTTGATTAAGAGCTGTCTTGGGACGCCAGCTCTGAGCAGCAGGGCCCCAGTTCGGATCCCACATGAGGGCCAGTGACGCCGTGCCCTCTACAGCTAAGATGGTGAGCAACAGCTCAACCTGGAGCTGGGCTGCCGTGAGTCGCCAGCGACGGCGTAGGCTACAGCCCCTGCTGCAGTGGGCTGCATGAGCAACCATGAGTGGCTGGCAGCCAGCATGAGTGGCCGGAAGTCAGGTTGAGCTGCTGTGAGCCGCCGTGAGTGGCCGTCCAATGGCCGGGGACCAATCTGCCTCACCCAGGAAGAGTGCAATGATAATACCAACATGGGCCAGTCAAGTGACATCCTTCACAACTAGACTGAAGAACAAAAGGACAGCAACTTGTCTGTTCCCCTTCCCCGATTCCCCAACGCCGTTACCCTTCCCTATGTCCCCAATAAAATCTTTGAAAAAAGAAAACTCCTTCCATATTTTTCACCTATCAGAATAGCAAAGATAGAAAAGTTTTGTAACACATTGTATAGGCAAAGGTGTGGGGAAACAGATAAGTAAATAATATAAAAAATTTAAATGTACATATCCTTTGATCTGGTAATTTCAATTCTAGGAATTTTTCCTATGGTAATACTTAAAGTGTGAAAGATTTATGAATATTAACTATAGCATGGCTTGTAATAGCAAAACAATGAAAACAACTCAAATATCCATCAATAGGAGGCTGGTTAAATAAATTATGGTATATTAATGTGATGAAATAGAACACACCCATTAAAAAGCATGAGGCAGCACGACATGAAATGACTCTATATGAAATGATCTCTAAGGCAAATTGTTAAGTTAAAAAAGCAAAATGGAAAACAGTATGTGTAGCATGTTATCATTTAGATAAAAATTAGACTACATATATACATATTATTGTATATACATAATACACAAAATATCTCTGGAAAATAAACAAGAAATTGGTAACAGTGACTACTTCTGAGGGACTAGGGAACAAGAGATGGGAGGGAAATATTTTTGTTTACTCTTTTGTGCTTTTTAAATTGTGTATCATGTTAATTTACCTTGTTTACTTAATACCTATTTTTTTTTGACCAATAAAAATACACAGAAAAGATAAGGAACAAGATGAAATTTTAGTTTCATACTTCAGCTCTGAGAGCAAGCTGGGCTAACTCATCTAATAGTGATGAGGCGTTTTTAAACCTAACAATTAGGTCATTGTCTTCAACAGGTTTTTATTCCCTTATTATGAAGGCCCCTCACTGAACAATAAACTTAAGTATTATATTTAACTCAATATTAGAAGAACATTAAAAGTCCTCCCTCTGTAAATAAGCAGGTAATCCTCAAACAGTCAAAAGAAACAAAATTACTTACCTGGGGGCAGATATCCCTATAGTAACCCTCTGGGGAAAGAGACTGCTGGGGACAAGAGGCCAATATCTTTGCAATCAAGTCACACTTCTTCCAGTCAGCAGCCGTTGCCTCAGCATCACTTCCACCAGCTGCCCCGGCTGTGAGCAATGGAAAGAGATGTCAAAAACTCATACCAATTCCCCATATAAAGTCCTTAAAATTGAGGGTAAAGAATGTTTTTTCTCTACTGAAAATTGTTTATTTCTTCTATAAGAAAATCTACCCGGGGCCGGCTGAGTGGCACGTTGGTTAAAGAGCTGGCTTGGGACACCAGCTCTGAGCAGCAGGGCCCCAGTTCGGATCCCACATGAGGGCCAGTGACACTGCCCTCTACAACTAAGATGGTGAACAACAGCTAGACCTGGAGCTGGGCTGCCATGAGTCGCCAGCGATGGCGTAGGCTGCAACCCCTGCTGCAGTGGGCTGCCATAAGCTACT